GGTTTTATCATATTAACCATTTCTGTGCGAAATAATAATTTAATACTTCAATCGATAACTCGATTGCAATCAATCTTTTGTTAGAAATTCACACAAAACTCTTTTGCAACCAACAAATAGTTACCAAAAAATATATTTTCAAGACATTGACAATTTTTTGTATTTATATGATTAGAATTATTAGAAGCTATAAAAAAATTATTTCCAATAAACAGTTATCATATCTATAATCAAAAGATTAATTTGAGGTATTTTTGAAATATCTATTTTAGGGAATATGTTTCTGGGAAAAGTCTATAAAACATTTCAATTGTCATTTGAGTTGATATGTTCCCAGAAATTAGTACAACATTTCTCTAACATTAGAATATTTATGAAGAATAACTACAATACTTGCAAACAATTTAATGCCAAACATAGCAAACAATGAAAACAGTGTCCATACCTTCCGCGTCCAACATTCGGGGAATATTCAGGTGTTTCTCCGCGATATCGAACGCGAGGTTCAGATTCTCTAACGGGTTGTCCTGAATATGCAAACAATTAGTTTCGCTTTAGATAATAGCGTCTAAAAGACAAATACTTTAGAGAGCTTGGAGTAGTCGAGCAAATCTGGCCGATGTCTGTGGATTAAGGCACAGAAAGCGAGGCCATCCTTCCAACTCAAGTGGAAGTTCTGAGGCATAATTTTTAACCATTGGATCGCTTTGAAAGCGAGACAATTGACTTAATTCTGTGATTATATCGTTCAGACCGCTAACAATAGCTCTTAAATTATTATCGTTATCTTTAGACAATGCATTACTTTTAGTTAAAATTGTTAAACAATTCTGAATTAAATCTGAAGTAATAATCAAATCTTTTTGTATCTCTTTGACCAAACTCTTTAAATTCACATCATTTTCATGACTAGAATTGTTTTTTAATAACCATTTGGTTACTGACAAGTAGTTATTAATGTAATACTCGATTTGAAAGACCAGTATTTTGTATGTTCTGTCGCTGACTGGCATTTGACTCATAAATTGTGCCAAAATGTATGAATCGCTCACTTCTGATGTCTTGTAAATGAATTCTCGTGACAAAAACCATTTGATTCGTTCATATGTGTGATAATCGCCGTTAGAGAACAGATATATGGCAAAGTCGATGAGCAGTTGCATCGACTGATTGGCGTAGTGTTGCAAATGAACACCAATTAAAGGATCGCTTGTATTCACTGTAACTCTGGACTTGTCTTCAGACAAACAGACAATTTGTGAGTGCGTTTCGAAAGACTCGTAGAGAAGTTCAGTCAAAGACTTTTGCCAAAAACCAAAACTTAAATTCTTTGTATTAAGTAATGAACTCAAAGACTCGATGTCTTCCACTAAACGAGTGATTGGAAGCGAGACTTGATTTGAGTCCAAATAAGTTAAGAATACGAGTGAAGCGAAACTGAAGGGCGAGAACACGAAATTCATTTGTTGTGCTCTTACTATGGATTTCGACAAATCCATTACGAAATCCATCTCTTGTTGCGTTTGAATCACATTCGGATCACTTCTAGAGTCGAGAGTATGTCTTAATCTCACGTCTTGAGACTGTGCTAACTCTCGTACACTGATTGGCTCACAAAAGCGTATATAAACTGAACCAAAATTTTGCGAAAGAATAGCTTTAGCGCCGGTCATCATATTTCGCGGCGTTTCCGCCGGCTTTCCAGATGCCGTTCCCTTCGGCAACAGTTCCGATGCATACAACCCTTCTTCGAGAACTCTGTCGTACGAAATGGAAACCGGAATTATTAAGAGGTCTGGTATTTGTCCGCTGAAGAACAGTTCCAACGCCGCACTCAAGAGACCGGTCTTCGGGTACAGAGATTTACCACTTCGTGAACGCGTGCCTTCTATGAAGAACTCGAGCGGCTGTTCAGACCCGCGAACTAATGTCTGAACAAATGGTTCATTAATTCACAAATTAGTGTCAAAAGTGACTACAAATGAGACAAACCTGAAGATATGCCCGAAAGACGTGCCAATAGAGACCATCGGCTGAGTGTTTGAATGAACGCCTGATATAGAAAGCACCACAAGATCTCATGAGAGACGCGATCTGATTGAGCGCTAAGAAGTCGATTCCGGCGGCGATTGTCGGCAAAGGGATGTCAAGAGTGAAGCAAATGAAGGAGAAGATCAAGAAATCGGCGTAACTTCGATGCGATGGCACGTATAGTACGGGACACTCTTTGGCCAAACCGTTGAGTGTTTCTCTCAAACTCGATGTCCGCGTCTTGTCTGCAAACATTGAACTGGGATTCAGTGCCAACTGGTTGTCCACGAAAACGCTTTTGTAAATGCTTTTCATAATTTTGGTCAAAAAATATCCGACAAATCGTACGGTTCTTAAGGAGAAGGTGTGACTCATTTCAGTCAATATCCTCTCAATCCGTGTCCGCACTCTTGGATTCGCGACCAGTAATGACTGCATTTGTGGTCAAAATATATTCATTAGTCACTAATCAATGCTATCATAACGTATGGCAACTAAACCTGAATCAGTGGCTCATTGAACACATCCTCGCGAACCAAATCAGGAGTTCTTTGCTTTGAATACTTGTATTGCGAGCACTTCCAGTCGTGACATACTATCCATAACAAGTCGCTGCCGTGTCTTCTGGCTGTCAACACATCCAACCACTGGTCGCTCCACTCATACGATTGCATTGTGTCTTCAATTGTGCGGATCTATCAATGTATGGATGGGTTGTTGTGGTTGTCATCCAATGCCGGCTATGAATGTATGGCACATACAGTACAGTAGACTCTCAGCCTGTTGTGAGTCTCAGGCATACAGTTATATTGAGTGAGGGCTGGGCTCTCATCCCTATCCCTATGCCTGTACTCTACTGCACAGTGATTGACTGGATGTGAGACATGAATGCAATTGAGAAGCCATTCATTACTATTCATATGAAGATCACTACTTATGTGATGTTGTAGTGAACCACTCCTAACCCCCNCTCTCATCCCTATCCCTATGCCTGTACTCTACTGCACAGTGATTGACTGGATGTGAGACATGAATGCAATTGAGAAGCCATTCATTACTATTCATATGAAGATCACTACTTATGTGATGTTGTAGTGAACCACTCCTATGGGGGAGTCTGGGGGAAATGAGAGTAGATAACATAACTTGTGTTAATTACATGTTAACATACTATGGTACATTAACACGAATAAATGGACAAACTAGTCAACAATGACTATTGTAATCAAAGATTTATAAAAATACTTAATTAATATTAGTATAAATGAGCCAGGTCATATAAAATATTGTATGGGGTATATATCATGGGAAGGTGGGGTGAGGTGTGGGTGCTTTGGTATTTAATTGAGAGCATATTCAATGATTACTCGTTTAATTGAATGATTGGTTATCTAACGGTAAATGAAGCAAACATACAGTTAATATAAAGTTTAAGTTTATGTAACAGTGTGTGACTGTCTGTCCACTTGTCTAATGATTATATGTTTGGCAAAAAGCAGTCATTCATAATAAATAATATATATCTTGTATACATCCAGCATAAGCTATTAGAACATTAGAGTGAATGTAGACAAATAGAGTATGACCATGCTCACATGTTCATCACAACCGTTCAACACTTAAATATAAAATAAATTATAACTTATAGTTTGAAAGCTATAAAAAGGCAAATATTTGAGAAATTGATTTCAAATTTAGTTGGCATTAACAGCGAGGTTTGACTAAATACACGAAAATGTCATTAAAACCGGTTTTCAAGGGTTTAATTGTTTCAATTTATAAAGCAATTAAATGATTACAAAGTTTGTATGGGGGTTTTATACTAAATAAATGTGTGAATTATTATTAGTTTTAAATGAATTTGTAAATCTAATTAGTTATATTAATAGTAAGTTTAATTAACATATGATTGAAACTAAGTTTACAAATAAAAGTTTGAAATGAATTAGCAGTAAATGAGAGCACAAGTAATGCTTGCATACAATGCATAGTCTATGAGGCATATTCGTAGTCGTATAATGCAATGCGTGTGAATGGCTAGCATTGATGGAGTCGATGATCGATTGGATCGACAATCGGTATTAATAATAATGGCATTATTGGCGTAAAACATGTATTATTACTGTTAGTGTATAATTGTGTTCATTATATACATACACACAAAACAATTAAGCATTCATTTGATTGGCATAGAGTTGATTGACCAAGGCACCAAGACCATTGTCCACTGTTTGGTATTAACCTCTTGTGATGACTGTTTGCCAGTGAGTGTCCAGTGAGTGAACGGTTGAACCATTGATTCAGTGATCATTTGGTTGGAAGTGTTGTCAACCATTGGATGACAATTGAATTGAATTGAATGCCAATTGAGACAATTGTCTCGATTGTGGTCTCAACTGAATTCACTGACTATTGATAATCAGCTGACCTCAGAGTCCAATGCAATACCAAACACCCACTGAAGACATAGTTCACTGTTTGACCATTTGATTGATTGTACAGATTATGTGAAATTGAATTCAAATTGCAATGAATTGATATATAATTAGCAATAATTATATATAATATTAATATGTTTTCATTACTCACAAAATGCTTACAACTAAAGCAAACTATAATTGCAGTCTAATTGCAGTCTAATTGCAGTTCATATGCATTCAATTTCCTATTGATTTTGTGCTCATTTTATTCATTTCTCTTTAATTGATTCCCAACTGATTTGGCGTTCATTTCACCATTTGTTTGCTTTTCACACCAATTATCGCTTTATATTTAGAAACCATTTAAAGTGAGTATTCATTGAATCAATGATGACATGTAGTGCTAATGAGATGTGTATTGCAGGTGAAGAAGTGGTAAAAGTGGAAGAATGGGTGCATTTCTGGACAAACCGAAGACCGAGAAGCACACCGAAGAGGGCGGAGGGAATGGCCTCCGATTTGGGTTGAGTTCAATGCAGGGCTGGAGGATCGAGATGGAGGACGCGCACTGCGCTGTCGTAGGCCTCCCACAGCTCAACGACTGGAGCTTTTTCGCCGGTTTGACACAACTCTCACCCATTGATGACCATTGCGTTGATGTCTGTATTTGTTGACAGTATTCGACGGACACGCCGGCGCCCGAGTGTCAGCCCATTGCGCGGAAAACCTTTTGGATACAATCACACAGACGGATGGCTTCAGACAGTCCTCGAACCCATCGAATGGCACAATAAGTGCCGAACAAATAGATGAAGTGAAGCAAAGCATTAGAGACGGGTTTCTCAAGTTAGACGAGAAGATGAAACGATTGCCTGAAGTGGAGTCCGGGGAAGACAAGAGCGGCTCAACGGCCGTGTGTTGTCTCATAGCTCCGCAACACTTCTTCTTCGCCAACTGCGGTGACTCGCGGGCAGTGCTCTCGCGGTCCGCCAAAGCCTTCTTCTCAACTCTCGATCACAAACCCATTAATCCGACCGAAAAGGAAAGGATCCAAAGGGCGGGCGGGAGTGTTATGATTCAACGCGTCAACGGATCTCTGGCCGTCTCGCGAGCTCTCGGAGACTATGAGTACAAACAGGTATTGATTTGAAGGTTTGGCGCAAAATATGTTAACTTGTGTTACGACTCGTCAGGTGGAAGGTCGGGGTCCGTGCGAACAGTTAGTGTCTCCCGAACCAGAAATTACAGTTCAAAGCCGGGAAAACACCGATGAGTTTCTGGTGTTGGCCTGCGATGGCATTTGGGATGTCATGGATAACGACGAGTTATGCGATTACGTTAGACATCAGCTGACTATTCATCCAAATCTTGAAACCGTCTGTTCCTCTATAATCGATACGTGTCTCCATAGGGTATGACATGTTTGGGTTTAGCTTTGTTTCTGTGGCCTCTAATCACACATATATTACACATATATTACAGGGAAGTAAAGACAACATGAGTGTAGTTTTGGTCTGTTTTCCCGGCGCTCCCACTGTTAGCGAAGACGCCCAACAAAAAGATAGAGAACTTAATTCATTAATAGAGAAGAGAGTTCAGGGTATGTGTGCTCACGAGTCACCCGTCGGCGCCTCCTATTAATGGTTTGTTTATAAATTGCAGAAATTATAGAGAAAAACGAAGAGTTGACGGTCGCGGAGGTGTATCAGGCAATCCTCTACGACGACATCGATTCGTTGCCTCCCGGAGGAGGACTCGACTCCAAGTAAGACTCAATTTTGCCATTCATTTCATTATTGATTACAATTACCGGTAAATCAATATTAAAATAAGAGTTGAGGCAATGATTCACTGAAAAAGTAAATAGGATCTAAAAGTTTATAAAAATTTCATTTACCGGTAAAACAAGTGATACCAATAGTTATTTTAAATGATATTTTACATTTCATGCTTTATAAGCACTGTAGTACACATACAAATGAATATTCATTTTTATAACAGTTACCATAATTAGTAGAAATGCATTCATAACACGATAACTTAATTTGAGACATTTTATATTTTTATTGTAAATAAAATCAAAATAAATATTTAAAGGTTCGATATCGGCGATAATTATTTGTAGCATTTGTAGTCACATATAGAATACATTAGTATTAATTTGGGTATCATTTGAATGTATATAATATGACATTAATTGCAATGAATTGACATATAATGAGAAATGGTTTAACCAATGATTAGGCGAACGATTATAGAAGAGACTTATAAACGGATTAATCCCAACAAGAATTGCGACACTAATAGACTGGAGAACAGCGATGAGGACCACAACTACCCCATCAACTGACACACCATTCATGTGTTGCCAAACATCCATCGCTTTCGCCGATAAGTCCTGTTTATCACAAAATAATAAATTTTACTTTAATTACAAAAAATAAAAAATAATAAAAAATATTTACTTTTAAATGCTTTTCCGTATGTATTGATTGCTTTCTATACAACAATTTCTATGCAATTAATTATAGAGAACTTTATAACAAATAATTTAATTCTCTGTTCATTTTTTTGACTACAACTTTGAATTAATTTCAATGAATTATTATTATTAATTTGATTCCTATTTTTCCAAATTTTTTTGTTAGTTTTACTTGAATTTTCCTTTTTTTATAATTAAATTAATATTTGATTGAAAACTTAAAATTTATTAAAATATTGTATTTTTTGTAGATTAACAGTAAAAATATTTCTATTTTAAATTAAATGAAAAATTTTTCTTATGTGTTGTAAAACAGAATTCAATTCAGACTTGATTTATAAAAATTAATGTATTTTTTAATTACACAAATCGTGTTATACAATGAATTGGATTACACTGTAATCATAACGTATTTGTTTTGCCAATGAGTGTTGAATCTAACGACAAAAATATTTTCTCGGTTTTAATGGACAAATTGAAATGAAGTGAAATGGTCACTTTGTGCACATTATTTTCAACACTATTTCAATTGTGAACATACCTTAATCCTTTAAATTTAAAAGTATATTTAGTAAATTATGCAATTAATGTAATTATCGTCTTAAATATGATCTCTAGTATTCATAAAATGATAAATAATTTTGCAACAATCATGATTCATGAATGTTGATTTAATTGATTATTTATAAGTACAGTATTACCTACTAGAGTATACTAAGTTAGGGTATATATTAGGGTAAAAATTGAAATTGATGTGCAACTCAAATAACTTGTATAGAAGTCACTTCCTTGTGTCAAACCATTGATAACAATGTTTGCACTTTTGTTACAATTCTACGGATTCTTTGTTTACAATCATTGACTATAAAGTGAACTCCAATCCGTGAATAACTTCTCAATTGTTTAATAAATAGAACTTTTTTATGCAAAACAAGACTTCGAAGTGTTGAGCAAAATGTGGTCAAAAATAGTTGGATTGGCTTTCATTCAAATCATTGTTTCTTAAAAAGTATCGCAGAATCCGATTGAGAGTTGAGATTGTATTGCGATTCCCATTACAATAACATCTCGGCTCACATTCACTCCAAACACACATTCTTTTGCTTTTTTGTAAACTATTTTAGATTTGATTTTTTGCAAACAAACAGTTTTGTTGGAAAGTGTGTCACAAATATAAAAAACATGAGACCGAAGAACTACCAGTCCTTCACATCAATGTCTAACAAGAATTTCCTTTTCTTATTACTGATTACGTTATGAAAATGAATGAAAAAAATGCTATTTTTGAGAAAACATTTATTTATTTTACAAATAATAATCAGACAAATGGGGAGACATTTGGGAAAAGGGTTTAAGGAATGAAAGATTGGGGAAGACTTGCATCGAATGGCAATACATTGTCGTCGAGTATATCATCTAAACAGAGCTCACAAACACATATAAGAGACGCAATCAAACGGCACTCAAACTAAACAAACATTCAATGAAATGACTATCAAATAGTAGTAATAATTGTCATATTGTATAGAAAGTTGGGCCGCATTTCAAATTGAGCTCAATTTTGCATTAATTAAATATGAATTGATTTTCTTTATAATAAATATTACTTAAATTAAGACACAATTACTTTCATTAATATATTCATTAAATGATTATTAAAAGGTATGAAATCTAAGCGTTTTTATAATTTAAGAATCGATGAAAAGTAGTTTTAATGGCAATTCAGTGACTAGTCTTCAGCACACCATTCAAAGGTCGCTTTCGCCGTACAATGCCGTCGAGAATGACATGTAATCGAGAGCACCGACCACTGCGTTCGGCCCCTTATATGGCGCCATACGTTGGATGCAGTACTCGGCCTGATCCGGTGGCAGTTCCCGACGCAAGTCATCAGCAGTTATAAACGGCTGTCCAATGGAATTGCAATATATGTGTTATACATACTAATCATAAGATTATTATCTAAATATAGAAACCAAACCTTATCTGAAGCCAGAATACGGAAAGAATCGATGATTTGTTCGGCAGTATCCGTGTCTGTGCTCTCTCTGGTCATGAAGTCGAGGAAAGTGTCAAACGAGACGTAACCGGTGTTATTGGGGTCCACTATATTCATAATACGCCTGAAGTCAGAGTCTCCCTGTTTGTCATTACGTATGCTATAACCCAATGACACCAGACATGAGCGCAACTCCTGATCGTTGAGTCTTCCGGTTCTGTTCTTATCGAAGTGATTGAAAGACACCCGGAATTCATTCAACTGTTCAGTTGTAATGCCTTTCGAGTCTCGCGTAAGGATTTGGTTCTCAACTTCATTGATGTTTCTGTGGATCGAAGTCATCAACTGTTCCCAACCGACACGTAGTGTCTATAAAAGCATTAGTTTAGACCAATTGATAAGAGTTAAAGTGAGAGTCAGTAGCCATACCTCCATCGTGTAGTGGGTATATCTGTTCTCGAAGATCATATTCTCCTGGACCTCCTGATGAGTCCTTTCTAACTCATCCATATGAGGTCTGTACACATTGACTGCGTTCTCGTATTGTCGCAGTTTGCTTAACTGGTCCTCCAGAGTGCCCGACATTCCCATTCCAATGGCTGCCACTGAATCCATTTGCTGTTCAATCCAAGGGCCGACTCCGTTAGCCTTTTCGGCGAACTTACGTCTCAGCCCTTCATTTCGGAGTTGTCTCTGTTGTTCGCTTTGAAGCGTTTGGTCTCGTTTTGGCACCAATTGCTTCACTTCTGTCCACTTGTTGGTGATGTCCCGTGCGGTGAGTGTGGTGTAGGGGTTCTCTATGCCTCCGGGAATCTGATATTGCGTTGCGATTGACTGAACCTCTTGAGAGAGCGATGCAATAGACGAGTGCTCTTTGTCTGCCTCTCCCAGAGTCTGTTTGAACTGTTCGTGCGCCTCAACCAAGCCCTGGATCTCCTCGACGGTGTGAACAATAAACATATCCACTAAGTCTTCACGAGCGCCGTCGAGCCAGTTGTTGAACGGCGCCGCCCTTTTGGCGAACTCCAGGTGCAAAAGATCGACTTTTTCGAGAACACGTTCGGCCTCTTCGAGAGCACTGCTTCTCTTCTGAGATAGGCTTCCGAGTCGATCCCACTGATCACATATGCGTTGGCACCGGGCGTTCACACCGGCCGAGTCGTAGTAATCCAATGAATTCAACTCCTGAGCGATGGCAGCGATCTGTTCCACTCTGTCCTGATGTGCGGCTAAATCCGATTCGAAGGCCTCGTGTTTCTTCTTCAGGGCTTTCACTTCATTGAGACGACAGTTGCGGAAGTCTTGGCTCTGAAGCATCGCTTCCTTGCCTTTAGTCCACTCCTCGTGAATGTCTGCCTTATGTTTAAACTTCTGCGCCAAATGGTCTAACCTCTCGAGTCTCATCATCTCAGACAAGAGCCATTCTTCAAAGCCTTTCTCTGCGTGTTCTAAGCCTTTCCAGGCGTTGCCGATGTCTGACACCATTTTGCCTTCGGTTGGGATATAAGCCGGTCTATTGCTTAGTCTTAGTTTAGTTTGCAATGTATTAAAATTGGTCTCCAGTTTAGCCTTTTGCTCCACTCGAGGAGGCTTATGGACTCTCCTGTAAGCCCTAAACTCTTCCAATTTCTTCTGAACGGTCGCCAATTGATTGTCTGTTGTCTTGTTTTTAAGCCATGGAGTCGTTCGGCGAATCCATTCGAGGAGATCAGAGGCCAGCCGTTCGTACTCTTCCATTAAGCGTTCATTTTCTTGGTTTACTTTCAACACTTTGCAGATGCGATTGGCAGCCGTTTCCGCCTGTCCTCAAGTCATTTGTTTTAGTTAAATGCAATCAATACTACTTCAAACATCGGGTATACCTGTTGGGCGCCCGAGAATGTGTGGTAATAGGAGGATATGTAAGTCATGACAGCGCGTTCATCAGGCATTGGACTGTTATTTATGTCTAGTTTTTCATTAAATCAATTGTCGCAACAAAAAGCAATTTTAAATATTAATTAATTAATTGATTATTTGATTAATTCTGTAAAAATCAAACTCTAAGTGCAATAGAAATGTATTTGCAAGTAGTAGTGGTAGTGGTGTTGGAATGAGATTAGCATTCATCTAATGTATTATTCTTTCAAATCTTAGTCATTATTCTGGAAACTCTTGTGTAATAATTGAGTGCTTCTAATGAGAGCATTGAATGCATAAAAAGTAGACAGGTTTGCAGGTTTGCACCGATATATACCTGTTGTGCTCCTTGAAATGCGTGGTAATAACAGGACACGTATGTCATTACAGCCCTTTCATCGGGTTTTATCATATTAACCATTTCTGTGCGAAATAATAATTTAATACTTCAATCGATAACTCGATTGCAATCAATCTTTTGTTAGAAATTCACACAAAACTCTTTTGCAACCAACAAATAGTTACCAAGAAATATATTTTCAAGACATTCAGAATTTTTTGTATTTATATGATTAGAATATTATAAGCTATAAAAACATTATTTCCAATAAACAGTTATCATATCTATAATCAAAAGGTTAATTTGAGGTATTTTTGAAATATCTATTTTAGGGAATATGTTTCTGGGAAAAGTCTATAAAACATTTCAGTTGTCATTTGAGTTGATATGTTCTCAGGAATTAGTACAACATTTCTCTAACATTAGAATATGTATGAAGAATAACTACTTGCAAACAATTTAATGCCAAACATAGCAAACAATGAAAACAGTGTCCATACCTTCCGCGTCTAACATTCGGGGAATATTCAGGTGTTTCTCCGCGATATCGAACGCGAGGTTCAGATTCTCTAACGGGTTGTCCTGTATATGCAAACAATTAGTTTCACTTTAGATAATAGCGTCTAAAAGACAAATACTTTAGAGAGCTTGGAGTAGTCGAGCAAATCTGGCCGATGTCTGTGGATTAAGGCACAGAAAGCGAGGCCATCCTTCCAACTCAAGTGGAAGTTCTGGACGTTTACGTTCTTATAGGGGGCGGTCTTCCTCTGACACCACAATAGCAGACCCTCTTTGGCAGTCATTTCTAATCCATTCAATCAAATCAAACATTAGAACCAAAGGGTGTCATAATTTGTCGGATGTCTTGCCTTCAACAGAAATGTCTTGAATAGCGAACCGAAGAATTATAGTCCAAATGAGTCCTAAAGTCATTTTCGTGTTGCCGTCGACTATCTCTTCAGCGCCGATAGAAACCAATTTGACTCCTTTGTTGGCAATGAAGTCGAGGGCTTTGTTCACGTTTGCGATCTTATGGAAGCGCATCTTTCCTCTGTCCGGTTTGGCTAATGTCTCCCCAGATATCACTTCCAACAGAAGCATTAACTTCAGACCATTCCTGAAGTCTTCCTCAATGTTATCAATATTAGTGTTCGCTTTGCGGAGATGGGAGTTACACCACGCCGTGAATGTCTGTCCATTCAATGTATCGCAAGTTAATAGTGTTTTCAATGAATGTTCACTCAAGTATTTATTGCAAGTGTTAACAAAGTTTGTCAACAAATTCAAATAGTTCATGTAATTCATGCAACAAATAGATAACTCTAATTAAAGATTAAATAATTTAAATATTTCCAAATAGTCGAGTGAGCTTTATTTGAATGAATTTTTAAAATATTTTGCTAATATTAATGAGTTGAATAATTGCGACAAATGCTAGATTTTAAGTTAATGTCCAAAATGTAAGCAAACTATATGTTTGCAGTCTGGCAGTAATTGCCAGAGCGGTCGGGCATAACATTCAGACACAAGTGGTGTTAAATTAATGCCAACAAAACACAAATTCCTATAAATTATATTTTTTGTCTCATTTTAAAAGGTTTTATTCAGTGATTTTTGAATGAATGAGATTTTTATAAATGAGAGCAAAATATGTTCACATAAAATGCTGTCAAATATTGAAGTGTAAGTTTTGTATGTATTTGCTGTTAAGTGAATATCATTTGAAGATATGACTAAAGGCTTAATAGTGTTCAGTAAATGGATTAATGAATGTGAAGACATTGAATAGCGCTGTAAAGTAAGCAAAAAACAAAACCCGAGAAGTGTTGTGTAAAACACAGCATCACTTAAATTAGTGGTTTGGGCTATATTTAGAGCAAATAACTTGAATGAACTCTACTTTATATTATAAGAAATGTTTGTATGAATATTGTATGTGAATAGGGGTTCAAATGAAGCCTAGACTTGATCTCTCACGCACTCATAGCCCTCTGCCATCCCATACATTGGAGGGGAGGACTGTTTGCCAACTAATGTCACCCATATATGGAGCCAATAGTAAACACTAATATAACTCCAGTCGATCTGATATTAATACCATTAATACAAGAATCCGATTCAATTGGTATTATACATGTAGTGATCTGTAATCAAAACTTTGCCACAACTGTAACAACAGATTAATACTAATTCTGTGAGGAATTATCAAATCAATTCTTAGTTGTGCCACAAGTGTCACAAAGTCTGAAACCATTTGACATTTATTATAATCAACACAACAAATGCATAATTCCCGACAATTTCACAATTGATAGCATTTTCGCTATATTTAGACGTTTTAATTGCAAACATAACTCTTTGCGATTTGTTTGCCGTCTTTCAAATAATCAAATCAAAAATTATTTCTCTTTTCAATTGAAGGCATGTCTTTGCATAAGAATTAATGGAAACGATTTGACAGATCTTAAGGGTGTGTAGGACTGAGTACTGAATGTAATGTCGCCTGTAATCCAGTTTTAGCCACTAATCGCATGCAATTGCTTCACAATAAACACAATAATTATGTTATCGAGAGATGAATCACTAAATTATTTATCAAAACAATCGTTGCCTTAATAGCTATGTTGCGAACCAGTTTGACCTCAAATATGAATTATTGTTCATGTTTTACATTTGACTCAAACTAATGCCAAAGGGAAAGGGATTGAGGCAACTGTGCATCAATTCATTCACACATCCCTTCATAATGCAAACAATTACACAATAATACTGTTAAGTATTTATTGTTTTTTATAAGTTATTATAAATGCTTTCATTATTGTCCCTCGACATGACAACCAGCACAAGGAGTACTCATTAGACGTCAGATCTGAACACAAACTATTTGCTGACGACTTCTCACTCATTGCTAGGACTTCGCCAATCATTTTGGTCTGGAATGACAGGAATGCCTACATTTCCAACACATTGAGCCAACACTTACGCCAAACACTACAAGATATGGTCGTCTACCATCACAGTCAACGAGTTATCAAATGGTTAACTATAATGTGTAATGGATTAAGAGATTCCTGAATAAATTGAAACAATTGCTAATACAGTATCACTCAATGGATAGTCAAAGTATTGTTCAATAAATGCTAATTTACAAAGTTATAGCATAGTATAGTACAGTACAGTACAAGGTATAATAACTATTTAATACTACTGTAATCAATAATATGATTGAAGCAAACAAATCATATCATAATTGACTTTTGCTATAAATTAACACTTATATAATATTATCAAAAGAAAATATTTTTCTTCAATTATTTTAAGGGCAAGAAATGATTTGTTTATCAATTGATTGGTGTTCTTGAATCAAGTGATTATCGGTTCCAACTATTTGTACTGTATTTAAGTCATGGCATGATTCACGTGTTTACTTGAGCCCAATAGTAGGCCGAGTACTGTTTGGTGGACACGAGACATGATAATCCATTAACAAACATACATTTACTGCATGCACTTAATTATACGAAAAAATGTGGTCCGAGTTGAACAGTACAGTCAAATTGGATGGAAAGGTATGGATTACGGCACTGTAAACAGGGTATGCTTTCTGTACTAAAACGCCTCATTGAAACAAATCAAATAAAATGTGATAAAAGACATCTAATGTCTATTAAAGCATAATTTAATGCATAAATAAATAAAAGATATAAACAGCTAATTATATGGGTGTGCGATATGAGTGAAGTATTATATGTCATGACTTATATTAAGTTGGACTCAAATTATGTTATTGTAGTGTCGATAACAACTAATCGCAAACAAAACCCAACAAAAAACGATAACTTTCTGCTATAATAGCCAACACTTGGATTGTATTAATTACTGTCATTATTGCAGACATTAGTTATGATTTGAAACACCGGAGACAAATTACATTCACTATACTATACATATACTTTACATTGGATTGAACGTTACGTCAAAAATATAATGAAATAGTTTATCATTTAAATTATTAAGGATTGTCTCAACACTGGTTTACAGTTTTTCTAATAAAATACAAAAATTAATTAAAAAACATATTTATATAATGTAATCGTAATGTTAAGGAAAATCTAAATTTGGTTTTAAATCTCATATATAAGACAAGCCCTCAAGACATCAAATGAACTCTGTTTTGAATACAACTTAAAAACAATAAGAAATTCATTTCAAACAAAAAACACTGTATTTTACATAAAAAGCTTTGACTCAACAATTTAATTATCTATTCGTTAATGGATTTGAAAAATATTTTCAAATTTTCAAAACAAGTAAAACATTAAATGTTTTATGAGTTTTCTGTGACAATAATTAAGTCTGAAATCAATGTGGAGAAGTGTATGCATTTGTCTCACTATTTGTATCACAAGTGCTGATAACTTATTAAATAATTGCCATCAAATTATTTGTTATCAAATCATAAGTTGTAATCACTTTATACTAATTAATAAAGCATTCAATTGAACCGAACTTAACATTATTGGCAAACAAACCATAAATTGTTCGCAAATATGAGACAAATGTATGTATAATAGGAATAACACACGAATGAGCCAACCATTGGATTCAGTGATTGAGTGATTCATATGATGTGAACATAGGATACATGAATGGTTAGTACGATTAGTCGGTGATGGTGTCTGACCTTTCTCTGTTGCTTCTCCCAGGCGGGGTCGAGTAGGCCCTCCCGTTCCCATTCCTCCTCCTGTTCCATATACCCCCCGTCCTCCGAGTTCTGCTTGTATTGAGACATGTTGTGGCGATTGTCCACTATTTCCATCATTGTATACAAATGGTGAAAATGAAGCACAAGACTATTGGACTATTGGATCAGTTAATGATAATTACTTTCAAACAAATGATAGCAAATGTGGTGATCAGTGATCAGATAGTGGACAGCAAGTAATGGTCAGTCGTGTGAGAGTTGGCAGACATGAAGACATACACTTTGATGAGACAAACACTCAGACACTGAGTGACTGAACGTATGGCTTATGGCACACAAGCTCACCAATGATCGCCGGTTCCCTCAGTCTTACAGTGAATGAAACACACGAAACAGTCGTCGATAGACGAGCAGCCATTGCACAGCCAATCGCAGCGCCGGTACGTCCAAAGGCAACGCCCGACCCCTCCGTCACCACTGATACCACAGTTTTGCTCCACATTTGAACCCTATTTCACACAATACCTCAATCTATCCATTCATTCATTCATATCTCATATCTATTACTAATAATAACTTTAATTCAATTATTATATGATTTCCTTTCATTTCAATTCATTTCAATTCATTTCATACATTACTCGCAAACTGAGTCACAAAATAACACATTATTCCCAACTTTAGGCCCAAATATACAAATATATTCACGTCTTTCCACTTTGTGTTCCCATTTGATGACTTAAATACCATTGAAATGCATTCAATTGCTAGACTACTGTCCCATTATTTATCTGAACAAGTGATGCCTATTTATTGCATATGTTTTATAGTATAAAATTTATACAAATACACAATAAAAAGAAATTTTTATTTCTGCAAAACAAGCCAACACTTAGTTCGCGATTCAAAAAACAACTTTTATCTCAATTTAAAGTTTTGTTTGAGAAATATTTGAATCGATTCCTAAATAAGTTCTTTAAAACAATTCGTGTTTTCGTTTACAAGTTTTTACTCTGAAAAAAAGTTTGCAATATTTGCAAAATTATTTTAAGATAAAAGACATGTTTTCTTAATTGCAGCCAATCTTACAGTTTGTTTGTTAAGGAGTGGAGAAAAGGATTGCATTTTTCAAAATAGACTTTCGTGTGCTTTATAAATATGATACATCGCTTTGCATTGACATGATTTTCATGTATAACTACTACAGTAACGGATTCTTAAAGTTTTCAATCACAGAATTGATACTTTAAATAGTTGATCAAAATAATACTTTGGCTGTAATTTGTTGACTTATACTTCAATTGATGTATTGGTGGAGTCGTGTCGGGGCTTAACATTCACTTTTGACGCCAACGACTCGCTGCTTAAGTCGGCTCACGAACTGTGGGTTAGTTATGCACCCCATGGTTGTGGAGGTCGAGGGTCACATCCCTTTCCTGGTGACCCTTATTTTGTAATTAATTTAATGGACTAATTGTAGATTTTTATGATGGAAACTGGAGTTCATTGAATATATGGAAGTGTATTAAAAAAAAGTTTTATTTTATGATCAAATAAAAAGATCCTAAAATAGATCCGATGACACGCTTTGACACTCATTGCCTTCAGTTTGATTTGAATTTTTCTTGTATTGCTTTTGAATTGAACCCAAATTTGAAAATCTTTGACTCTATAAATGTGTCTTGATTTTAAATATTTGTTCAAATTAATCCACATAAAAAAAGTATTTTCATAAAAAAAACTAAATCAAAATCGTATCTCAGATTACTTGAAGTCATTTTTAATTAAAAAACAAATAAATTTGAATCAATCTTAAAGTTATTTGTAAAGTTTGGCAACTATTTAATGACTTATTAATGCAATTTCTATTAAAAATAAAAATTTTAGGAATACTAATTAATTTGTAATTATTTGATTCCAAAGGCAATCATTTGTCAAATATTTATCAAACTTTGTAAAGAATTTCATATTAATACTAACGATAACTGTATAAAAAGCATATTTGAAATGATTTAAAGCGAAATATTCTTTTTTAATACAAATACAGCACTAGTTTAGTAATAAATATCTGTTTATAATGTAATAAAATTGCATGAATTATGAGTTAGTTATCAAGAGTACAGTAATTAACAAAATATTCTTCACTTTGTGGTAACAAATGTGCAAAACATAACTTTTATAAGGATTTGAATTATTTTTCTAAATATTGTGATAAAAGCACAAAAATGACTGAAAGATTCATTGAAATTAATTCATTAATTCTTTGCATTCTTTAGTTTCAGATGTTTGAAAACAATTCAGGAAAACATATGTGAAAATATATAATTGTAAAGTATTTATGAATTTACAATTATTCATTATTTTCATTATTTTGCAAAAAGAGGTCAAATATTAATAAATAGTTAAATTGAATGACATTGGGGCAACAGCTGCAATAAACTGTACGATAATTTGGCAAAATTTTAATTATTAAAATTAATTGATTTGACAAAAAATCGTGATTTTCTTTATTTTGGAATTTCATGAAAAAAGTCAACAAATAATATCCAAATTATGACTTCACTTGCGTTCAGTATTGCAGTAGAAATGTATGAAAACTGTTCATCTTTTATGACTATTTTGTCGGAATAATTCAAAAGAAAACTTAAATCACATTAAAAATTAGCAATAATTTGAGTGAATGTTTAGTTAGTTTATCACCATTTTTATGAAATGTGATAAAAAGTAAACTACACTATAATACAGTATAATAATTGGTTAGCAGTTGTCCCAAACCATGCAAAGGGGTATGTTTTGGATGCTATGGAATCACGTATTAATGGCAATAACTATGACATGACTCACAATCTGTTGTTTCAAATGATTTTAATCTCCTTTGAAATTGTTTTAATTACGGTTAGACTGGATTTGACACTACATATTAGGTTTGCAATCACTGGTCGACTGAATTAATTAGCAAATAAATTACACTCGTAGCCCATCATTGATAAGAATTTTGATGATTTATATTAAAAAAACTTTTAAATGAATAAATATTTTCAAAAACAAAATGAAATAAAATTAATCATTCGTTTTGATAATTAGGATTATTTTATTATTAAATTGCAATTTATATAACTCTGAGAGAAATATATGAATAGTGAACGGAAACCAAACAAAACAATGTTTAGTTAGAAATTCACAATATATTCCTAATTTATTATTACAACAAATATTATTGAGCCTCAGATAAGCGATTAAAACGAGTCAAAAGGGATTTATTTGATTACAAGTCATTACAATACAGATATTGAAGTGAATGCTCTCTTTATTTCGATGTTTTCACCAAATATTTCGTTTCAATTAATTGAATACTTTATTAGAAATGTTAAGGCATTAAGAGATGATTCAAATCTACCAAAAATACTTTTATTTTGAGGACAAACTCGAAGAAATTGGCGACACTTTTATAGACCTATAATTCGTTTGACTGTCAAATAAAACGATAATATTAGCGATCAATCGAAACAAAAGAGCATTCATTGGATTCATCAGAAAGGAGTCATCAATTCCTTAGTCTTGGATCACATTATGGAATGATATTTCATTTGCTCTGTAATTGTGTCCACTTTTTCAGACAAAAATATATTTCAATCAAATATTAAGTTTCATTTTGTGTCACAACTTTC